GGATGTTCGATAGTCATAGAGCCACTCTTGTCATATATTAAGAACAACCGCTGTTTCGGTTATAATCCTTAACGACTGTGCCCAAGTGGATAAAAAAAGAGGCGAACGTTAATCGGCTCGCAGCTATCGAAACTTCCTATGACAAATACAGTTGGTCTACTGGTGTTACTTGTTAATGACACTTATAGTGATGACGAAGGTTCGAAGAAAAGAACAGTGGAGTCTGGACGTAACACTCCATTGTATCTTTAATAGCGTGATTTTAGATTTTCCGTCGAATCGTGCGCCACAACACAATTGTTATCGTTACGCGCACGTATCAGGATAAGTTCGTGTCGTGCGTTTATCACTATGCGTTTGTAATCCTCGCAAAATCCTAGGAGAGTGTTAAGTGGTACGCAAAAGTTGAAATTCTCGGAAAGCGGTGCGCGAAATAACTGCATCGTGCCGTCCCATCCTGCATTTTCTAACGTTATATTCTTGCCAGTGGTTAACGATATGAAATTTTTTATCGTACTGGTAATACCAACGTTTCTAGATCTATCAATTTCCACACCGTCTAACTCGTACCGAATCTCGTCGAACATGAACGCGACGCAATTATTCGACAATTTTGGAGGTTGTTCCTCGGATGTGTTTCCATCTCGTTTTGTCGTTGAAAATTTTCCCTCGACGTAGAGAAAACTCTCACATTGTAACGTGTACAGATCCTGATGATGTATAGGTATTCGTATTTCATCGCTGTATCCGAATGTGGTGTTAGCGTATGGGTTGTAAGTGTGAGTCTCGATCTTAACGATACGATCGTCGAAGATAGGCTCACCCCGTATGTTTAGAATATTGCGACTCATTGTTCATAACGAATCCCAGAGACCGTAGAAGTGTGACGCTCGCAGCGTTCAATCTGTCCTCCGTTCCTCTCCGTTTTCTTCCAATGTATCGTTCGGTGAGCGATGATAATTGCGACGTCTGCGGTATGGTGGACAGTAGTAAAGCAAGGTATATCCTCGCCCATGGGATACCCCGCGGGGTGAGGGGCCGGGGGGAAAACTGGGCGAGAGGGGTACTGTGGTGCGGGGGGGCAGCCAATGAGCGAGCTGCTTTTGCCTCCCACCACCTCTCGCGGTTTTCCTCCCCGGCCCCCGTCCCCACGGGTGCATGTGTGTGTGAGCTCGTGACGTCACGACGCGAGGAGCGACGTGACGAAGGTGCTGCGAGCTCGAGAGCGGAAGGGCGACTGAGGGAGTTCGCGCGTTTTTTCGTGCCGACGCCCGTTCACCCTCCCTCCCCCTCGCGTGTTCAGAACCCCCTTTGCCGTATGCTCGATCTCGCTTGCACCAACGCTCGCGTATCTAGAATCCCTTGTGTTGTATGCTCGATCTCGCTCGCACCAACGCTCGCGTCGATGAATTGGATCGAGCGTTATCGAAGATTATTTCAAGGACGCACTGCGACATATCACGATACGTTTTGTCGGTGACGTCATCGATGCGTTCGATTGAATCAGACACACTTACTGTCGGGGAGTTCGCGCGTTTTTTCGCGCCAACGCCCGTTTACCCTCCCTTCCTCGACTCCCTCGCGTATTCAGAACCCCCTTTGCCGTATGCTCGATCTCGCTCGCACCAACGCTCGCGTATCTAGAATCTCCTGTGCCGTATGCTCGATCTCGCTCGCACCAACGCTCGCGTATCTGGAATTCCCTGTGTTGTATGTTCGATCTCGCTCGCGCCAACGCTCGCGTCGATGGATTGGATCGAAGATTTTTGGAAGGACATACCGCGACATGTCACGACACGTTTTCGCGGGTGACGTCATCGATTGCGTTCGATTGTACCACACACACACTTTTACTGTCGTGTTTTGTCAGAGTGTTAGTGTAATAAAAAGATATATTTAAAACAGGAATGATTTCCTTTTATGCTTTTTTTTTCTGTTGGGATACCACATCCTTAAGGATATGATAAGAATCTATTGTTCCTTCGTTATCTTTCGCTATAACGTCGACAAAGAGACGGCGCGGTATTGTAACGCGGATGTGTCATTTTTTAAAGAAAAAAATATATATAAATATTCTTACCTTCACCTCTCCTTCACCTCTTCCTCCTTCACCTCTTCCTCCTTCACCCTCGTCCTCTTCCTTCTCTCTATTCGTCGGCTTCTTCTTGCACTTCCTCTTCTTCCTACTGAGAAGCGAGGAAGTGCAAGAAATGCTGGAACTCGTGAGAAAGTTGAAGGGTATCAACCAGAAATTCGTGGCACTCTTCGGGAGTGACATTGTCGAAATTAAATCGTAGAAAGCCATCTGCATTCTGCTGCTCCTCGACAGCGTCACCCTCGTCGACCTCGATGAGGAAGCCCTCATCGAGGACGTCCTCTTCGTTGAAGATGTCCTCGACGAGGAGGACATCCTCCCCGTTGATGGCATCTTCTTCGGCGAGGACATCCTCCTCGTCGAGGACATCCTCTATATCAAGCTTTATTCTTTTAGGCGATGGTTCGTATTGCTTCATTTCCACAAGTTTTTTCACAAGTTTTTTCACAAGTTTTTTTTCACAAGTTTTGACATTCCGTTCGGTCTTATCACACATATATATATATATATACGTCTTAATGTGAACAATATCCTGAATCATCTGACATATACTCATCATCATCAATGTTTTCAATGTCTTAGAAAAAATCATCGATGATGATAAGTAGATCCTCTTCAAGTATATTGCGCACAATGTTTATTATGTTATCCATCACGATTAAAACTCTGTGAGTTGTACAGAATAACTGTATGTGACAGCGTTAGTAACAATATATATTATACGATCAAGCAATATTTTTTTCATTTTTTCCTCTAAAGATTATAAACCATTTCCTTTTCCTTTAAACTATATGTAAGGTGGGAGCTGACGGTATTCCCGGAAATACCGCTTGTAACGAGTGATATGAACGAACACTCATATTGCATTCATCTATTTGCGCCACATCGTTATTATTGAAGATCACATAGGTTTGTCCTCTGTTAGTATTTACTACGGTATTGATGAAAATGTTCGGGGGAAATCCTAGACTGGAGAGACGTTTTGGCCAGCCTTCTTTTAATTTGAAACTGGGATACTCAACCAAGTAAATTACATCGTGTATGAACAGTACTAATTCACCCGAAGGCCTTTGATATGCTGCTGATAAGGAGAAATTATTCGGAAGGAAATCCATATAACTGTTTAGTATGTGTGGTCCATCGTATTTTGCATCATTTATATCTATCGACCATACGTAGCGTTGATACGTGACGAATATTCGATGATGTAATACCAACACCGTATCCACATATTGTAAAGTAGAGAGATCTATGTACGTGGGTGTATTTGTTGTAATTTCAGTAGTTGGTGGTTGTGTGGTTGTTGTTGTTGTTGGTTTTGGATTTTTAATTGCATAAAGTTGTTGAATGGCTAAAATGTCTTCTATGTTGAGTTTAGCAATTTTATTATTATTCCTAGCAGTGACAACTGTGAACATTATGGATTCTTCACGCGAACTGTGTGGTAATCCTAATGAGTGTCCAATTTCATGTATTAACGTGTTAAGCAGATAGTCCTTGTTACTACTAGCAGATTTGTCAGTTAGATATATATGCCACGGTTCTGCACTATCTATGTGTATTTCACTGCTGTAATTGTTAATGGTAGGAGGATAGAACGCGTGAGCGAGTACTCCACCAGGTCCTAACGAACTAGGTTTCACCAGGTTCTAACGAAGAGGTGCAAATTTCTTCGTTGTGTCTACGATCAGCGTACGTGTGTGTCCCACTACGATAAGATATCGAGATATCGGGATTTACCGTTTTACGTTCGAACGATAAAGATGAATTAGCTGCCCATAGCGAGAACGCGAATTCGGTAGTTTGCAAGGTTTGTGGATCCGCTAGCTGGAAATTCCACGTGAGATGTGTTTTCGCCCATTTACGTCTACCTATATTGTACTCGTAGATGTCAGGGAGACCACATCGTGGTTTACGCATCTGATACAACG